TCTTCTTCGTNTACTCAATTGTGCTAAAGGCCACGAAGAAGACTGAAATAGAAATTTGAACGACTTTTGTTGGTGATGGCGATTTTGATATCCTTGTTCTTCAGCGCAGTGAAGAAGCTACGAGTCTACGAGGCTTATTTGATATGTTGAACTGTTAATTGATAATTATGTTGAATTGCTAATTGATGTTGAAGCTGCGAGATTTATTTTTGATATGTTGAACTGCTAATTGGAGATTTTTGATATGTTGAACTGCTAATTGATGATTATTTTTCAAATTTCAATTTCAGTTTTCAAATGATATAATGTCTACTTCGGGAACGACTATTCCGCGGAAAAATTACCAAAACAAATACTGCTGGTGCTCGTATAGACCCAACATGGAAGCATGGCATTGAAGTTGCACCACAAAAAGTACAATGTAAGTATTTGTCAGGTTGTTCGTCATGGTGGCATTTATAGGCTAAAGCATCATTTGGCTTGTACTAGTTTTAATGTGTGTCCTTGCCCTCAAGTCCCTGATGATGTTAGAACAGAAATTGTTGAAATGTTGAGTAATAATAATGGTGGATCAAGTAAAAAAGGAACAATTAGTGAGACTGGTAGTTTCTCGGTTGATGGGGATGTTGAAGGTGGGAGTGGGAGTAAGGATTCTGTGAAAAGATTTTTTGGCAAAAATCAGAGCTTTGGGAGACAAACTACTTTGAATGAGAAGTTAAAGAAGAAAGAAAGAGATGATCTTGGGCAACTTTTGGCTCAATGGTTCTATACTAGTGCAATTCCCTTTAATGTGATTAACAATCCTATTTTTCATAAGTTTTTGAAAGGGCGTGAGGATTAAGGAAAGGGATGGAAACCACCTTCATACCATGAGATTAGAGAAACTTTTTGTAACGCCCCACTTTTTATAGCGGAAAATCAGTATAAATTTATCAAATTTATTTCAAACACCTGAGGCGCTACTCATTTTCAAAACAAACTTCAACACTTATCCAATTTCTCAATATTAAATCAATCATCAATATTACTAACTCCCAAAACGGCTTTTTCCAAAATGCACAATTCACTCAAACCGAGTTCCAACATTATTCATAATTTTAAGGAGCATCTCCTTAATATTATTCAATCATAAATCCATAATTCATAAAAGCAATAGTATTACAAGTTCATAATAAAAATCAGATCATAAATGCAGAAGCATAAACAATAATAGGACAGTCTTATAGACCGACCACCACTCGCTTAACTCCACCGTCGCACCTGCCTTGCTTAACCTGAAACGTGAATTTCAGGTGGGGATGAGCACAAGAGAAAAAAGTAGTGCTCACCACTATGCAGTAAACATTATTCACAATAATGAAACAGTTATCAATAATCAATAAGGTATGACCACAGTATGTATATGAAACAATCAATTATTCAATCTCCGATCAATCATATCAATAATAGACTCATGTGCACACCTATAGCAATAGACTAATGCCGAACTATATACCGAACGCCTTATCTAAGGCCTTACAACGAGTGTCCGGCCAGTAGGAGTATCCCCCGTCGGCCGAGCACCGCCCTGGTCTCACAACGGGGAACCGACCGAGCACAACCCTGGTCTCATACCTCCGACCGAGCACAGCCCTGGTCTTACAGGCGTATAGAACCCCACGGGTTTCGTTTCATAAATACGAGGATAAACCGTTCGACGGCCGATGCAACTCACATCGAAGGCTACATTATTCGCATGCATACATTGATCACACCATAATTAAAACAGTAATAACATTTAAGGCATAGCAATTTTTTGAATTAAACCCACCTGGATATTGCAAGAGGTATAGCCAAAAACAGAGTCGAAGGAATTATGACACAAGTTCAGCTCGAAGGACCTACAACAGTTTATAAGGACCTATCACTGACTGCCCAAAACAAAACAACACATAAGGCACATATACTTAGCCGAAATCATATCGACTAAGTGACTCGTGGATTCCTTGACCGAGTTAAGTACTATGGAGTGACTACTAGACCTGGACACAACTCATATACCTCAAATATTTCACATAAAACATGCCGACATTGAATAAATCCTATCCGAACCTAACCAACCGATAACCGAACATTAAGACTCCAAAATAAACGAAATTCAAAATCAGGAGTTAGGCTCATCCATTCAACCTGAAACGTCACCACATTAATAAACATGAAAAAACACATAAACTCACCAAGTTTCAGCCCTAAATTCATCCGGTAACATTTTTAAATGATTTAAGCAAAAACAGCACCAAAATCAGCATTTAATAGTTCACAAAGCTACACTTTGAATTTTAATCTGAAATTTTTGCACAACCTTAAACAGAAAAAAAATAACAGGTTCCTGAAAGTTGCAGCTCAAAAATCTAAGCGTACGATTTTTAGTGAATTTTACAAGTTTCTGACCAGAAACCGTTTTAAGTATTTGAACTCGAAAATTTCAAAAATAAATTCAGGGGCTTGGCACACACATTGTACATACTCAGAGGCATAACATATCAAAAATTCATCTCAAACGGAAAACAACTCGATTTATGGTGAATTTATTACGATTCTGCAGCATGCTCGGTTTAGAAAAATCATAACTCCCAAAATACAACTCGAAACGACTTCAAACCGAAACTAACAGATCAAGGACAACTCCAAGTACTTATAACTCATGGATTTCCACGAAAAGAACCACATATATTCAGTTCGACAATTTTTCAAAGTGACGGCAATCACTTTGATATCCAATTCGCAAATATATAACACAATTTTCACAATTCTCATTCAATAGCAACACATCATCATATACTAGCACAAATGATTCGAGATATCACGTCAAACGAACACATTCACATAATCGGGCACATAATATCACGCAAAAATACACGAGACGGGTCAAGCCTTGTACCGTTCTCGGGAATCGAACGAAAACGGAACGAAAGGTTGACGGGCTCGAACACGCAACACGTCTCACGAGAGGACAGCGGCTCGACCAAAGGGGGTGGCTGCTGCGTTCTCTCAATTCACTGGAGATGGCCGCCGAACTCGCCGGAGGGAATGGTCGACGGCTTGCAGCGATGGAGGTCGAAACTCGCCGATGAACTTCGCGGTCTGTTGGTTCTCGCACGGTGGCTCACGTCGAGAGAAAACAGCGAGGGAGGACTTACCGGAGTTCGTCGGGTTGCTGCTGCGGACATCGACAGCGATGGGGAGCTTCTCACCGGGAGGAGTGCAGCAGGTTTCTTGAGGGTGGATGACGGCCGTTCGCGGCGAAAATCCGCGAGTAGGGTAGCCGGCGAGACTCGCAGGTGGTGGCATCGCGAGCAGGTGAGGCGCTGCAGCAACTCGTCGCGGAGGAGAAGGGCCCTCCGGCGGTTGGTTCACGGCGGCGCTGCGATTTGCCGGAGAAGGAGCAGGCAGAGGTCGCGCGCGGAAGTTGATGGCGGGCCGCGACGCTGCTGATGCGCGGGTCGCCGGAGTGCAGTGGAGAAGCAGGCGGCTGCTGGGCTGGGGATCTACTGGTCGGAGGGGCGGTCCTCGATAACGATGACGGGAAGGTCGGATTTGCAGGTGCGACAAGGGGAGATCGTCGGCGTCTTCTCACGAGATGGAGGGTCTGCGACGGGAAATTTGCAGAGAAAGGGGGAAAGATACGAGGTGATGATGGTGATCGAAATCGGTGAGGGCTGCGGAACTCGACCTGGTTTGAGCGAAGGATGTGGGCGATGATGGTCGAGCGAGAGAAATCTCTCTTCTGCTAAGGTTACGATCGAGATAAGCAAAGAGAAGAAGGCTGCAGTGTTTTCTGATTTTTGAGGAACGAACGAGAGCAAGAAAATATATATATCCCAAATAGGTTTAATGTCTTGCACAAAGAGAAGCTCACTCAGCACACACGGGCCGAATTGGTTGGGCTCGAATTTGGGCCGAATTAACGGGCTCGCGAGTTCGGTTCAATGAAACGTATCGGCTCCCGGGCCCGACTACGTAGAAGTAATACAGATTTCTGGGGATCGATAAATAAATTCGCACAATTAAATAAACAATCCAAATATATAATATATATTGGTAATACACAATTTAAATTTTAATAAAATAATAATAATATTAGTAAAAATACAAATACACATTTTAATTAATTAATAACATTTAGACAATTAGGCAATTAATTCAATACTTAGACAATTACGAAATTTTACAAATAAATCATATTAGACAATTAATAATTTAGTATTCACCAAATAATAATAACAACAAATAAGATATATAATAATAATAATAATAATTAATTCCCCAAAATTTCATAATTCAAACAGGGCATTACACTTTTCTTAAGAGAGAAGTTGAAGAAACCAAGAATGTGGTTCAAAGGTATGAACAAGAATGGGAAAAAACTGGTTGTACCATTATGTCTGATGGATGGACTGACCAGAGGAAAAGAGCCATTATAAACTTTTTGGTGAATAGCCCTGCTGGCACAGTTTTCTTGCGCTCTGTTGATGCCACTCATATTTCTAAAACAGCTGAGAAGTTATTTCTTATGTTAGATGAAATTGTTGAATATGTTGGAGAGTCTAATGTTGTGCAAGTTGTTACTGACAATGTTGCTAACTATAAGGTTGCAGGGAAACTTCTAATGGAAAAGAGGAACCATTTGTATTGGACTCCTTGTGCTGCGCATTGTATTGATTTAATGTTGGAGGATTTAGATAAAAATGACATTGCGCATAAAGAGACCGTAGCAAAGGCAAAATTGGTGGTTTCTTTTATCTACTCTTCAAGCACAATTGTCAATTGGATGAAAGAATTCACCAAGGAAAAGGAGCTGATTAGGCCTGCCATTACACGCTTTGCCACTTCATATTTGACATTGAGCCGCCTTAATGAATTGAAGGGTGATTTGTTTTGTTTTTTCTCTTCCGAGAAATGGACTACCAGCGTGTATGCTAAAAAAAAAAAAGAAAGGGCGGCAAGTTTGTAATATAATATTTGATTCCCAAGTCATTTGGCCTAATGTTGAGTTGTGTATAAAGATTGGATCTCCACTTCTCAAAGTGCTAAGGATGGTTGATTCTGATGCTACTCCTGCAATGGGGTTTTTATATAAAGCAATAGAGAGTGCAAAACAACAAATTCAAGCTAACTTGAGAAATGTTAAGAAAAGGTATCTTTTATTTTGATATTAGCACATTTGATATTGAAACATACATATATTTGTGATTTTTATATTTTGACTATTTTACTAATTTTGGTTGCACTCTTATAGGTATGAGCTTGTGTTTGCAGTCATTGATAAGTGATAAGATGGAATGCTTAGCCATGATTTACATGCTGCGGGTTACTATTTGAACCCTCAATTTCATTATAGTTCATCTTTTAGTAATGATCCCATCGTGAAGCAAGGTTTTATAACTGTATTGGGAGAATGGTTGCAAATAAGGAAGAAAGGATAAAGATTGATTTGCAATTGGAGTCATTTAAGCATGCCAAAGGATTGTTTGGATTTGAAAATGCTATTTTGATGAGGAACAAGAAAACACCAGGTAAGATTTCTATATTTCACTACTATGTTTAGATGGTATAACCATATAACCTTGTAAGTTTTAAACCACTGATAATATGTTAATATTATATTTCTTTTTTGTTTCATCTAGCCGATTGGTGGGATTCATATGGAGATCAATGTCCGAAGTTGAAGAGATTTTCTATTAGAGTTTTAAGTTTGACTTGTGGTTCGTCAGGTTGTGAGCGGAATTGGAGTGCATTTGAAATGGTAATAAGTTTCTCCTTTTGTTTGATTATATTTATATGCTATAATTATGACTTGATTCAAAATATGATATGCATTAATGACGTAGTAGACTAGTAGTCTATTATTTTACACTGTCTTGATTTTGAACAATTAGGTGCATTCAGAAAGAAGGAATCGTTTGACTCATAAGAAAATGGATGAGTTAGTCTTTGTTATGTGCAATTTGAAATTGAAGCATGACAAAGAAATGCAATGTAAGCCGCTGAATTTTGATGTTATCCAAGAAGTGGAAGTTGGAGAAATTCATGATAGTGAATGGATAACGGAGCAAGGGGATTTGCAGCATAATGGTTCCACTTGGAATGAAGCATTGAATCCAAATGTGTTTCATAACTCCGATGAAGATGTAGATGAGGTTGAATACAATAAGGAGTTTAGTGGTTCACCAACACACATTCGGAGTTCATGTAAGTATTTTGGTTGATTGTCTATAAATAACTTGTATTCTTTTTGGTGTTAAAAAGTTTTTTTCACTTGTATTTACCTATATATTATTTAGTTCAAGGGCCTAGTAGTAGTAGGTCACGAGGCAAGAGAAGGGCTAATCAAACTCAAAGATTTTAACTCATTGATGAAGAAGATGACGAAGATGAACATGAATTTGCAAATGACAGAGATGATGAAGGCCATAATGATGGTGATTATGAATTTGCAAATGCTCGAGTTGATTTTCAAAGGATGGGAGATGAAAATGCTCATGCCAATGATGCAAGTGATGATTTGGGAGCTCGTCATATTGATGAGTGTTCATTTTCTACTGGATGGAAGCCATGGAACAAGACTATTGATGAACATGATGGTGATGGTGATTAGTTTGGTTATAAATTATGATTTGAACTTGTGTTTTTTGTTTCACTAGTATGTTCGAAGTTTGAAATTATGTTATTTTACTATTCACTAGTATGTTTGCCTTTTGGACTTTGGTGATATTGAACATTGGATTCTCTAATTTGTCTATGTATTTGTAAGTGTTAACTTTGAAGTTTGAACGCGTAGAGTATTAAAATTTGAACATTTATATTTTGAAAAACAAGTGGTGGTTTTTTTAACATTTTGATACATATTTCTTGATGATTACTATAAAACTTGTTAAAATAATTAATTTTAGACGTTTTGAGTAGGGTCTTACGATTTTACGATTCCGATTTTACGATTCCGATTATGCACCAAAACGATTCTACATAGAATCTCGATTTTGAAAACCTTGCACTACAGTTAGGAAAGTAAATTTTATTTGCATATAAAATATTAGATTTTAATCTTTTTTTTTTTTCAATATAAATGCTAAAATATGATTACATAAGGTAGTACAATTTAAGTTTTTTTAAAACTCTAATTGATAGATCTAACATTATTAAAATTTTAAAACAGTACCTTAGGTGTAATAAAACTCATTTGCACGATTTTCATACCTAATTAACAATCGAAAATTTGAAAAGTTTTTATAATTTTTCCAACTAAATATCAGATATATAATAATCCTAAAATAAGCATAATTTGAAGATACTGAAACTCATGTTGATAGTAATTTGACAAAAGTAAAATTCTAAAAAAAGTCCACTACAATTATTTATAAAACGTGCAAGGAGAAATAAGAGAGAGAAAGAAGAATGAGAAAAGAGGATGAGAAAAGAGAAGTATGAGAGAGAAAGGAAAAAAAAGAAGATAATGAAATAGATTATTTGGTTACTTATGTCTTTTAGCTGCAGAATGGGCCAAACGTGAATTTCATCAATTTTAGATTAAAATTTTAATTGAAAGAAATAACTTCCGGTTTTCAAAGTTGGGCTTTCTTTCTAACTATTTATTGGTCCTAGTACAACTGGCCCAAGGCTAGGTCCACCATCTAGGGCTTTGTTAAGCTTCCTACGCCCTCTACTATAAAGCCGAATCGCCTTCCCAATTCCGGGTCCTCACTGAAACTCTCCTCCCAACTTCAATTTTCCCCCTTTTCCATTTTTTGATTTCGTATGTTAATTTCTTGCCTATGGCATAGATTTTTCAGGTTATTTTGTCTTTGATATTCGTATATGTTAAGCTATTCTTTGAATTGTGAAGGGCGGTGATGAGAATTATAGAGAATGTCATGCACCACTCTGAATATTGTGATGATAAATTCTCATACCCATTTACAAATTCTGAGCCTTCTCTAATTTTCTTATTCGTTTGTGTTATTTTTTATTTAAAATGTGATTATCATTTATTGTTTTGGCCACTGATTATTATATTTATTTACCTTCGATTTATATTTTATTTTTTCATGTTTTTTGATGTAATTTTAAGTCTTAACATTCGAAATAGAGGAACCAGATGATGCGATCTTTCTTGTGAAAGAAAGTTCAAACCATGATGCGGACCGTACATTAGCTTATTGCTTCTGGGGATAAAATTTGGTTTCTGATGGTTCCTTCTTCATGTTTTGTAATTTTATTTATGTGCACGATAAACTTTATTTACTTCAGATTAAGAAAGTAGATTAAAGAAAATTATAGATAGATCAACCTCAATTAAATTTCAACGTTTCGAAATCAATTTTCAATCTATATAGCACACTCTATCCCTCTCATGATATATTTAATCGTACTTGAAATAGAAGTTGTAATGAAACAAAAGAAAAATATATTTAATTATTGCTATATTGCAAAAATAACAATGAATTTTTCGTAGATTAAATCATTTTTTTTATCTACATTTAAAATACACGAATTTTGCAATATTGTATAATCTAAGGCATTTGGCTAAACATGTAGGTTTCATAACTCATGAGAAAAATATTTATATCTAGATTTCTTAAAAAAAGTTGGTTATTGTTAAAAAAATGTGATTTTTTTTAGAACAAATTATTCTACCTTTTTTCCTCTTAAAGTATAGTAATAATATTACCTTTGAAAATCTATATATATATAAAATTGGTAGCAAAGAAATTAATAGAAATATTTTGATTTCAATCCAAAAGATGTTACAACTTATATTATTATTATTCTTTTTATTGATTTATCTATATATTTATATATAGGGATAAAAAAATTAATGATATTTTTCCATTCTTTTTTGATTTAGTTATGGAAATTGACCTTTACTTGTTTTATTAAATAATTGTAATAATATTTTTAACTTATTTATCACATAATATTTATTATAAAAAAATTAATGATATTTTTCCATTCTTTTTTGGTTAGCTTAGAGTATCTTTAGTCACAAAGGTTTATAAACTTTACTTTTTACATTATCAAACTCCACATCATTTAAACCTCATTCTCACTCCTAATATCACAAACCTCCAATAATCATAAACCGCACAAACCTTCTTTTAGTGGATACCCAATATTTCCCACTTACTTTAATTTATATCAATTTAATTAATGTTTACTAAAAAACTAATAATTTTTTACAATGACATATTTATTTTATATCACAATAAATATATTTTAAGTACAATTAAAATTAAAAAATAATAATAATAAGTGAAATTTATTACACATAAACCTTACAATAATATAAAATATAAAAAATTACATGCTGGCAAAAATTAAAAAAAAATAATAAGAAAATATGATTACACAAACCTTACAATAATATAAAATCTAGAAAATTACATGGCGATAAAAATTAAATTTTTCATATATTATCAATATATTACTCTTAATAATTAGGTTAATTCCATATATGTTCAACTAGGTCATGCCTAAGTTGATGATGAACCTGTCTGTGTTGCACTTCAGCTCGTATTTGCAAGTAGCAACGAAAATTTGTTGGATGACCTTGATGTGTTTGGGCGGTTCACCATCTTCATTGGACCAATTGGTTGCCTCCTCACCCTCGTCCTCAATTATCATATTATGTAAAATAATACACGCTAACATTTTTCATTGAGATCTTCTTTGTACCAAAAACGAGCTGGACCACGTACAATTGCCCATCTTGACTGGAGCACTCCAAAAGCACGTTCAACATCTTTTCTTGCAGCCTCTTGTCGTTGCTTAAACTTTTTTCTCTTTGGATCCTCTGGACATTGAAAGCTTTTCACAAATGTTGCCAATTCTGGATAGATACCATTTGTTAAGTAGTAATCTTTTTTATAATGGGTTCCATTTACTGTAAAATATATCTCTGGTGCTACCCCATGTAAAACTTCGTTGAATAGTGGAGATTCGTGTAACACATTAATATCATTTCGTGATCCAGCGAGTCCAGAAAAGGCATGATCCACAAGTCTTGTGAGGCTACAAGCATTATTGTATGTACTCCATGATCCCCTTGAGTGTATAAGCTCTGCCAACTCACTGGACAATTTTTCCATTCCCAGAGCATATAATCAAGACTCCCAAGCATTCTCGGAAAACCATGTTTTCCCTCATGTAATACAAGTAGCCGTTGAATGTCAGGATCATTGGATTAACGCAAGTATTGGGATGCAAATATTTGTCGCACACATCGACAGAACTTGATGAGACTTCTATTTGCCGTCTGCTCTGACATGCGTAAGTATTCATCACACTGATTCGCGGGTGCCTCATATGCCAGTTGGCATATAGCAGCGGTACACTTTTGAATAGGTGTAAAACTTTTTTTACCAGTCGCATCTACTCTGCTCTTAAAGTAATTAGAATGATTTTCAATAGAATCAATAATACGAGAAATTAAACGTCTAGACATATGAAATCTACGACGAAAGAAGCCCTCGTGATAGGTGGGCTCATTAGCAAAATAATCTCTTACAAGTAGAGTGTGTCCAGCGTCACGATCTCGGTGCACTACTCGCCTTTCTTGCCTTGTTAAATTTTTAGCTTGTTCGTCCTCTTGGAACTCATTAATAGCTGCCTCCATCAAGGCAAATTCAGCTTTAGTGAGAGAATCATCAAGCATACTTTTCAAGAACGTACGATATGCTACTCTGTCATTTGTACGTCTAGACATTTTATTAGAAATAATAAAGAGAAAATGGAGATTTGAGGAAAAGAAGAGTAAAAGAAGAAGCAAAAAACGATGTTGTTTACTGAAGGTGGTTGGTGTCTAATTGAATCTACCAATGCTCCATTTTATAATGAGAAGATGAGATGTTAAAGGTAAGGTTTTACAAGTGGTAGGTTGGAACCACGTGACATGTCTTTCAAACATAATTAATTTGGTTGATGGGCATTTATTTTGTTCAAATATAATGAATGCAGTTGGATAGAGACAGTGAACACGGTAGACGAAAAATACAAAATGACAAACATTAAAATTAAACACGTTACAATACATAAAAATACAGTACAAATTCTTGCAAACAAAATACGAGAAACATAAATAGAATACATTGTAAAATTTAATTGAGGCCCATTGCTCTTTCAGTTCTGCAAGAAGTGCATAATGAGCTTCTAATTCTTCTTTAGTCATAGTTGAAGTGTCTTCCTTTAGCATTTCTCTATAGGTCTTCAACGACTCTATGCGTACCAACTTCTTTATCTCCTTCTATTGCTTCTCGTGCATACTCATAATTTGTCCAAATGCATCCAACATACATTCTGCTCTTTGATCAGTACTACTCCCTGTGCCACTTTTTCCCTTTCTCTTTGTAGCCTTCGCTGCCTTCTGGCCGATGGAGTGAAGCACGTATCTTTCATCGTCATCACCAACATGCTCCACATCTTGTCCAGATCCTGAAGTGTGACCTCCCGATTATGATGTCCTAGATTTTTTTCCTCCACGAATTGCTCCACCAGTCCCTTAAAATTTTGGACTATCCTTCAGAATCTCCCAACAGTGAAGCCACTTGAAGCCTCCTTTTCTTTTCCCTTCGCTATTCCACTCTGTTAATGCATTTTGTAACACAATAGCATCATTTTCACCACTCCTTTGGTCAGCCCAAAACCTGTTTATGGATGCATTAAATTTAAGGCAATCTGCATTGAAAGCATAGAAGTGAGATTTCGTTGAATTCATAGTTCTCTCAATCAAGTTTCTAGCATGAGCTACTTCATTATAATATTGAGTGATGCGTTTCCAGAAGCCTTCAGAACTTTGTTGAGCACCTCTCGAGATAGTACAAAATGCGCGACAAAGCAACATATCTTCCTCCTGTGTCCACGATATTGCCGACGCTTTCTCATGTCTTTTTGGATCACGTTCTTTATTTTCTTCGGTCTCCATATTATGACAAATATTGTCAAGACCTTCAACTTCTGGCCCCGTGGTAGCTCTTAGGGGATTTTGTGAGCTAGTAGGCCTATTACTCATAGCTGTTGGTATGAAATTACTATGTTGAAGAGGCATGCCAAGTGAATTTAGCATTCCATACTGGGACGCTATTGGCCACCTATACTGAGACGGATTCATATTCATCGTATTTTGTTGTTGAGGGTAGACATGATTTTCTGAAGTTTGGGATATAGAAAATGAGGGAATTGGTTGATATGGAAAATTTTGAAATTGAGATTGCAATTGTATTGCAGGAAATTGGCCAAAAACGGGAGGTATACTCCTACGATTGCGAGAATTTGCTGAAGACGGACGATCGTCCTCGGAAGAGTTAGACATATTGAAATTAGAAAAATTTGGGTTTCTATCCATTACCACTTATACACTAAAGTGAAGATGTATGTTTACACTTACACAAATCTACTCATGGTTTATAGCCGGAAATTCATATACATGTGGGAAATAGAAGATAGCATGCTATCATAATAAGATAGATGCAATAATGTAACACTACAATTTGCTATAGTGAAAGTTTTTTGCACGGGTGGAATCTCATGATAAGATAAATGCATGTGACCACAAACTTGAAGATAGTGCTTAGCTTTTCATTTTGAAGTGACAACACATGTTGACCAAGAATGTATTTTGTAAATAAATAAATAATATAAAAATTAAGGAAGTAATAGAAAAATAAAATTTTATCTTCCAAATAGTTAAAAGTGTAAAGACTATAAAAAAATGTTACGCATTTGAAAATAGCAAAAAAATGTAGTCATGAAAATTTTAATATTATAATTTCATATTTTAAAAGTAATAGTAAAATTAAAATAATTACAACTCGTTCTTATTTCAAATATAGTATTACGCATTTAATACCTCGTTTTCAATTATTTTTTTCGACAACCATTGCAACTCTTTCTTATTCAAAATAGTTGCTTTCGTATTTTTTTTCGGGCTATCAAGTAATTTATTTTTTAGATCGAACAATCTCGTTTTGGTTTTTTATTTAACGAGCAATGTTTGTTGAAGTTCGTTCTTCTTCGAAAATACCTCGTTTTCATATTTTAATTAACGTATAAAACTCCATTCATTACTTTAGATTAAATATTATTATATTTCATAGTTTTTTATTAATTACTCTTTTTAAAATAAACCAAACACGATTTAATATATAATTTAAACTAAAAAATGTGAAAAAATAAAAAAT